CTCTGTAGCCCAGGCTGGAGTGCAGTGGCCCAATCTCGGCTCACTGCAACCACCGCCTCCCGGGTCCTGATTCAAGCAATTCTCCTACCTCAGCCTCCCAAGTAGCTGGGATTACAGGCATGAGCCACCATGCCCAGCTAATTTTTGTATTTTTTAGTAGAGTTGGGGTTTTACCATGTTGCCCAGTCTGGTCTTGAGCTCCTGACCTCATGATCCGTCTGCCTTGGCCTCTCAAAGTCCTGGGATTACAGGCATGAGCCACTACGCCTGGCCAGCTAATTTTTAAATTATTTGTAGAGAAGAGGTATCACTATGTTGCCCAGAGCGATCTTGAACCCCTGAGTTCAGGTGATCCTCAAGCCTTCCAAAAGTGCTAAGATCTTGTGAGCCGCCGTGCCCAGCTCTCTTGGGTCTCTTTTAATCTTTCATAGTTTCTGTTTACATGACAGTCTTGTTGAAGATGTCAAGCCAGTTAATCTACATAATTTACCACCATCTTTTGGATTTGTCTAGTTGCTTCTTTGTGGTATGATATCTTTGAACTGGGTGGATCCCAATTAGGTAATTTTGGCTGGCGTACATTATAGATGCTATTGTCTACTCCACATTGTATCCTCCAGCAGACATACCTGGGTGGCCACCCTGAGGGATGCTGAGGTTGACAACTGGATGTGGTGATGACCATCTGTTCTCCCTGAGACTAGACAGGGGTTTGCAAATCTTTTCTTTTTTCTTTTTTTTGAGACAGAGTCTCACTCTGTTGCCCAGGCTGGAGTACAGTGGTGTGATCTCAGCCCATTGCAAACTCTGCCTCCCAGGTTCAAGCGATTTTCCTGCCTCAGCCTCCCAAATAGCTGGGATTACAGGCTCCCATCACCACACCCAGCTAATTTTTGTATTTTTAGTAGAGATGGGATTTCATCATGTTGGCCAGGCTGGTCTTGAACTCCTGACCTCAAGTGATCAGCCCACCTTGGCCTTCCAAAGTGCTAGGATTATCGGTGTGAGCCACCATGCCTGGCCA